TGGCCCAAAGAGGATTCAGTACAACCCTTTGAAAATGAGAAGTTATTGACCCAGGATAAGAGGAAACCAAAATTATGAGGTATATCTTGCTAAGCTAGTTAGAAATGTCTTCCCTTAAGACACAAGCAGAAGGAAACAATGATGAGATTTCTGTACCTTAAGGATTATCAAGAACAAAAATATTTAGGGGCCGACCCCGTGGCGCACTTGGGAGAGCGCGGCGCTGGGAGTGCAGAAGCGCTCCCGCCGCAGGTTCAAATCCTATATAGGGATGGCCGGTGTGCTCACTGGCTGAGTGCGGTGTGGCCAGTCACGAAAAAGACAAAAAAAAATTTAGGCTAAATCTTGCCACCACTGACCCATCAAAGCAAGAAATGTGATTAGAGTCAGCTACTAGTCTTGTCCCCAAAGACAAGGATGGATAAGCCTTTGTGGAGAAAGGGAGGGTATCTGTTTCACCTGCCACCTATGCTTTGTTGCAGGAGGGAAGACAAGCCAAAGAGCTTAGAGTTTTGAAGGAAATTTTAGGTCCTTAGGTTCAAGGAATGTTCATTTGTAACTGCTGGAATTAAAACAAGTCCAGAAAAAAAAAAAAAATTTCACCAGATTCAAATCCTTCTACTGCCAGAGACTTCATTTAAAGAGAAAGACTATAAACATTGCATAATCAGGAACATTTCAGCCTCTGTGGGCAGAAAACATGGGAAGCCATTTTGATAAACTGCCCCAGCAGCTCTTTTCTCCCATTAAAGTATAGAAGCTTCACAAAGTCAGAGACCATGTTGTCCTGTCCACCCAGACCCCTTCTCACATCTGGCAAGCTGCCAGGCACACAACAGGTGCTTAACAAATACTTGAGTGGATAAGGCACTCTAGTTAGGGCCAATAGTCCACTTACGTCTCATCAAACAGGGGTTCTAGAGTCTTCCGCTTCACTGAAGTTTTCTTACGACTTGCCCACCTCCTTTCTGGCAACAAGTAGACTCGGACGTAGGGATCAGCTCCACTGGTAGTACATGGTGTCAGGTTCCTGATTTGGTTTCAAAGACATTAAGAGAAAGGTCCCTGGTTTTCAAACACTGAAAATACTCACTGGGGAGAAACCTCTACTAGACATTCAGCTTAAGAAGGGCTTGAAGAGGGCCAGCCTGTGGCTCACTCGGGAGAGTGTGGTGCTGATACCACGAAGGCCACGGGTTTAGATCCCTATATATGGATGGCCAGTTAGCTCACTGGGTGAGCGTGGTGCTGACAACACCAAGTCGAGGGTTAAGATCCCCTTGCAGGTCATCTTTTAAAAAAAAAAAAGAAGGGCTCGAAGATAAAAATGCTGCATAGTCTAGATGACCAAAATATCAGATGAATGGTTTTGAAAATATGCATTTTTGTAAAGCTTGAAGAGCAAGTACTTTCCATCTAAGGGAAGGTGGAGATTCCCACTTGGGAAAAATGTACTAGCTACCAGCCATCCCAGACAGTTTGCAGCAGTTGTATCTGAGCAAAGCCCTTGGCTCTTGCGCCGATTGGCACCACTGAAGAATGCCCACTAAAGTGCCCCTCTGAGGACATCATCACTCACAGCATGCAGGCCTTCAAGTGTCATTTCTTCCCAGTGTGTCACTCTATCATCAGGCTACACACCCCTGTCTTTGCTCCAAGTGCCCCTACTCTGATTTATGGTCACCTGATGCTCCCAAAGGACCTTCCTGGCCCCCAGAATTCCTTTACCTGCAGCCATTGACTAAGACGCTGAGGCAGCGCCGCAGACACACATAGCGCACCGTGAGCTGAATCTCACCCAGCCACCGCTGCCTGAGATTCCCACCTCTGTAAAGAAAGGGCTTGTCACTTCTCTTGTCATTACAAGTGTTGGCTCTCTTCCCCCTCCCCCAAGACAGGGAAGCTTGCCCTACTTGGGGAACAAAGAGCCATGTTGGTTAAACAAAAGAATTCTCAGTAAGTTTCCTTTTAGTCGGAAGTCAGTTCCATTTAGCACTCACATATAATTATCCTACTCCACAGTAGGAAGAGCATGAACCCTGGAGTGGGATCTGCATTTGTCAGGATTCCTCGTGAGACCTTGGGAGTATTTATTCAACCTTTATGATAGTAAGTTCTATCTTGTAGGATAATTGTGAAGATTGAATTAGATAACATGCTAAATAAGCCCATAGTAAACACTTAATAAATGGCAGCCATTTATTACATAATTCCACATCCCAGTATAACTCTTTAGAATTCAGTAAATGTTTCTGCTGGAAGAGACCTTAACCTAAGTCCAACATTTTACAGTTGGTATGTAGTGAGAGCCGTAACCAGACTATCTGGCTCTCTCCCTGGTCCTGCGTTCTTTCTACCACACCATGCTGCCTCTCATGAAGATATTTTGTGAAAAAAACTTCCACAGGCTTATCTCGCTCACATCTACTTTTCCATCCAGGGAGATATTTTTCATGCAGGTGATTTTAGAAAAGATTAAGCAGAGAGGTGCATACTCAATGTTGAGGCTGATTTCTGTCAGGTCAAAGCAGGAAGAGGCCAGGGAGTTGAGCGAGGACATGCTGGGAGCCAGCCTCTTGGGCGGCCATGCGAATGGGGAGGAGGCAGGGCATTTCATGGGTCTGGGAGACTTGATGGGCCCTGGAGAGTGGGGGCCTGGGACAGTCAAGAAGATGGTGGCTGAACTCTTCTTCTCCCCCATGGGCTCACAGAACCCTTTGGCACTGTCCTTGCCTTTGGGCTCTGGGCCTGTCTCTTGGGGTGCAGGTGCAGTGGCAGCAGTGGCAGCACTGGTGGTCGTGTTGCTCATTGAAGCTTCCTGGGTGTCAGAAGCAGAGTCTGGGGGGCACAGAAAATCTGCAGGACCTTCTCCCTGGGCTGGGTCCTTGGGACCCCGGTTGGTGGCCACCTTCTTGATGAACAGAGGGCCTTTCTTTAGGGCTTCAGGTCCCGTGTATGGGCTCCCCAGCTCTCGTTCCTCCACACGCAGGAACTGTAAGTAGATGACAGCGTGGTTTATGGACTGGGCCCACCACTTCCACAACCTCAGCCATGTGTTTCTCCTTCCCCTTTTCTCCCTCAGTTATCAATTATCAAGACCTTTCCTAGGGACTTCCATTTCCAGCAATAAATATGGTGGTCCAAATATTCTGAAAAACCTCGTTAGAAAAAGCCCCCTAAAATCAAACATCCCTTTAAATCCTTAGCCAAATTCCTAATAAAGTGAAGATGATTCTTTTTAAAAAACTGAAAAAAGTTAACCTTTCCTAGAGTCATTTATCAACCTTGGAATTCAAAGAATTAGGAAAAGAGGCCTTGGGTCAATGTGAGGCTGGGAGTAAAGTAAGGATCTTTTTAGTTAAAAAGTAGTCTAGAATAAAAGTTCCACCCATCAGCAAAGTGGGATCTCTTTAGTTAAAAGTAGTCTAGAATAAAAGTTCCACCCATCAGCAAAGACTGATGACAAGAGATGTTACCTATCTGAGCCTGTACTCTGGTTGGAGGATAAAGTCTTCCCTAAGAATATGGCATCTTATAGGCCTGTCCACATATGAACTGAGTTCATATTTACACTGTCTGTGTGGTCTTGAAATCCAAAGTTAAGAAATTAACATAAAAGATAGGCCCAAGTTTTTAATGCCCCTGAGATGCTTGGCCTCCTTGGGAAAGAACAACCTCAATCCAGGTATAAAGGAACACTGAACATACATTTGCAACCCAAGTTACAAAAATGTAGAAATGAGTCATGTGAAAAAGCATCAAGAGACAAAACAAACATCAAAATTTAACTCCTAGGATCTTCAGATAATAGAGTTAACAGACGTACATTATAAGTATTTTCTAATGACTATAGATTGAATATAAACATAAGAAGATAATAAAATACTATGAAAAAAGAACATGTGGATTTGGAAAATATAAAATTAGACCTGAAAAACTGCCATTGAAATAAAAACCATGAACAGGTTAAACAGCAAACTAGGCATAGCCAAAGAAAAAAAAGAGTGTACTGGGAGATAGCTCTGAGGAAATTAGACTGTAGCACCATGAAATAAAGAGATGAAGTCAAGAGACATGAAGGATAGATGAGAAGGTCCAGCATAGAAGATCTAGAAGGGATTTAAAAAGAATGGGAGAAAGAGACGATGGCTGAAAATATTCCGAAATTGATGAAAAACATGAATCCATCTCCTGGCTTCTTCCAGACACAAAGCCAGGTGCTTAGTGCTGGGAAAATTCACCTTGCTCTATAGCCAGAGCTCCACTCCCCACTCCCCCAGGGGACAGGAGAGATTTACCCGAAGCACCAGCCTCATGGAGATGAGGCTGTCCAGGCCTGAGTGGTCCAGCTGAAAGCGCTGCTCAAGAGTGAGGTCAGCATAGGGGAGGATCTGGCACAGGGGGAACTCCAGCACTCCCAGAGCACACTCCTGGTCATCATCAAGCACCTAGGCAGCGGACCAGTCATAAAACAAGAAGAAATCCAAGCCCCACCCATACCACCACTACTGTCTGGGCCCCAGCCAAGTCTAAGTTCATTTCAGTAAGTATGTGCTATGCTTCTACTGGCATCTGGTCCTATTCTGGAAACTGCCTTCAGTCAGGGGAAAAGAGTGACTTGGGATAGAGGCAATTTTTGATTTGTATAAGGCCAATCTGTCAAATGCCTAGGGCATGGGGGCTCAGAGCTCCAAAAGACCCCAGCTCCACCACTTGTTGGGCATGAGATCTTGGACAAGTCATTGTTTTAGCTTCTCTTTACTCATGTGTAAAGAAAAGAAGAAAACTCTCTTCCACAGATCTTTTGTGAAGATTAAATGAAAAAAAAATTTTTTTAAATACACTATTATCCTGGGTAGATTCCAATGCAAACCACTCTGAGTGCTATGTAACAACTATAAAGACCATTTTTTAGAGAGAGCCAAGGGACTTGAGGGTTTGAGACTCCTACACGATGACTTTGGGTGCCACCCTCAAGGAGATGAGGACTTGTGGGGCCCCAGTATAATCTCCCACATACAAGGGGCTGACTTTACTGCCGGGAGAACCTGCTCAAGGTGTACTTCAAGTTCCCAACCCCTCCTGGCTTATCAAGCTCATAACTGTTCAGGAGCCCAGCTTCAAGCAAACCTTCACATGGAGCTGCTCGGCTGCCACACTGTGCACAAAGAAGGAGAACACCTGACTCCACACTGGGTCCTTGCTGTGGGGACAGGTCTAGGAACAGAAGAGGAAGAGATCATTGAAGGGTCAGGTTGGGCAGAGCTGGATACCAGCACCCTCTGCTCTCACTGTGGCCATCAGGCACCACTGGGTACCTCACCTGTGTCTGCCCAGGGATCATACAGACCCACACACACTACAGCTACGGGGAGGCACTAGGGCAGGACAGCAAGACTCAAAGGCAAGGAGTGCTTTGCCAGGAAGTTTTATAGGGAGCTGAAAATCACGCTAGTATTAGAGCTCGCTTCAGGGGAGGGGGACTGGCAGGATTCCTGCTGCTGGACTGAGAAATTTCATGGTGTGGTGGAAAGGACACAGGTTTTAGAGGCATGCCCAAACTTAAACCCTCGTTTGCTTTGTAGCATGTGCCCTTGGGCAAGTCACTTACCTACAATCCTTGGATTTTTGAACTAGAAAACTATCTTGTGAGGTTATAGTGAGAACTAAATAACATCAGGTGCCTAAGTAGGCATTCAGCATAAGCTAATTTCTTTCCTTTTGCCTCTCTCCCCAAGGAGGCTTGAGGCCCCACTTCCTTACCTCAGGACTACACACCAAACTGTCTTACCTTACTTGTGTGTGTCTTCTTGCCTACGGACAGCTTGACATAGGAAGAAGGGTCTCTGCTGACTTTATTCTGTAAGGGTGCAAATGTATAATGAAGGTGGCCGTGGCCACGGCCCCAGCCCCACCCCCACCCCCACGGAGTGTCAGTGGGACCTGGGACCAGCCAATTGCTTCCCTTTGAAGGAAGGCTGCCCTGGTACTCCCAGGCCTGCTGGGCTGCCATTACTGTGCAAGCACCAGGACAGGCCTGACACCAGGGAGAGGTTCCAAGTTAAACGCCAGAGGCAAGAGCTGAGCCTGGCTGGGCACGGTCTTTTGTTCCCTGGGATCATGGAAATAGGCTGGAGTCAAGTTCTGGCTCCTCCTCTTACCTGTGTGACCCAGCCACTTAACCTTCTGGGTCGTGTTTGTAAAATGGCAACAAAAACTACTGACATACAATCATCACAGGACTCAGGGATAATCAATGTAGAGGACCAGTTGCCAATCCCAGTGCCTGGCACACAGGAGGACAGCACCTGTTGTTATCCCCAAACTGCATGTGCACAGAACGTGGCCCAGAAGATACAGGGCTGGGGGAAAGAGGAGCCACTATTTGCACCTCAAATTTTCACCCACATACACACTTACCTTGGCAAACCTGGAGAGTTTTTTGGCTCGATATTCACCATTCAGGTAGTCAAAAGGGTTTCTCTGCAGCCCAGAGAGAATGGGATTAAAGCAACACATGGACATTTGAAAGTGATGGGCACAGGGCAAGGTATATGTGACACTCTGGACATGTCACCACTCACCGGCAGGTTGCAGGCACTCTCCAAGAAGACTACAAGTATGGCAGTGGAGAGTTCACCATAGTCCTGCAAACAGACACAAACACTCAGTTGGTGTCCCCAGGAGCAGGACATGGACTGGTTGGGAAAAACTTACTTGTGGCAGAGGGAAGGTATGTGACACTCTGGACATGTCACCACTCACCGGCAGGTTGCAGGCACTCTCCAAGAAGACTACAAGTATGGCAGTGGAGAGTCCACCATAGTCCTGCAAACAGACACAAACACTCAATTGGTGTCCCCAGGAGCAGGACATGGACTGGTTGGGAAAAACTTACTTGTGGCAGAGGGAAGCCAGCCAACCCTTACACTCCAGACTAGCCGTAAGATTGCTCTCAACAGTTTTTTGTTGAGGCTAAGAATACAACTGCAGCATGACACATTTAAGTTAGACAGAGGGTAGATTTCCCCTATGAACTGGGCTGGCAGGCACTGACACAGAGCTCTAAGGACCCCATCTTCCCTGAAGGTAACTGAGATGCTCAGAGGCTGTTTGCTGAGAGAAATCAGGAGCTGCCCTGTGTAGAAGACAGGGGGCTAAGTGACATGTTCTGCAGGTGAGCAAGAACTGGGGAGCTTCATCTCCCTCCTTCCTCCTCACAATTTTTCTGCTAGGGAGCCCTTGACACCCTGGGCTTACCTCGGTCACAGCTTCCTGGTCAGTGAGCAGTGAAAGCCACTCCAGCCGCAGGTGCAGCCGCCCACTGGTTGTGTCATTCAGGACAAACCACTGTGGGGCAGGGGTGAGAGAGGAAAGCTCAGGGAAAGGGCCCTCTTTGGGCAGCTCACTCCTGACACCTGGTTGGGCTCTAATAGGCGCTCCAGGGAAAAGGTACCCCAGTCCAGACAGGGCATGCTCTGGGCTCAGAGGGGCTGGGAGATGTGGTTATAGGGGGGCAGACGTGCTACACTTTGGGAAGGAAAAACCCAGGCCCAGCCTGCCCTCCCTGTAATGGGGCTGTGCCCTGTTGGGAGTGTTTAATCTGTGGGTACTTCCCAGGGAAGCTTCTTCCAACCTGGGCCCTGGGGGGTTCCCTAGAGGAATCTGGGCCTCACCCAGCTGTAGCCCCTGAGGACAGGCATGTGCAGCCCAGCACACAGGGGCCCATTTCACAGGACTAGCTGGGCTGAAGCAGCCTGTTAGAGCTGTCCACAGGAAGAGGGCTACACTCTACCTCATCCACCACTCTGTTCGTCATGACATCCCCGAGGCAGATCTGCAGGCTGGAATACACAGGCAGAGGGGTCAGCTCAGCTCAGCCCAGGTCAGTGGAGGCAAGCAGCAGAGGGTGTGGAGGCCCACCCTGGGATCTATTTTCAAATATCTGAGTGGGGCCATTAAGACAGAGGATCTTATTCCTCTCAAAGAATCAATGGGAGACCAATTTCACCTTCAGTGAAGGAAGGACTAGCTAGTTATCAGGGATGCTCCCATTAGACATGCTGCCTAGGGAGGCAGGTGGCTCCCATCCCCAGAAGGGACAAGCAGAGGCTGCTGGACACATCACCTCTGGATTTCTCAACGACAGTGCTACTGGCATTTTGAGTAGGATGATTCTTATTGTGAAAAACCGCACATGCACTGCAGGAATTTAGCTTCCTGGTCCAGTGCCCTCTAAATGCCAGAGGCACCACCTCCCGCAGTCATTTTAACCCAAAATGCCCCTCCATTCCAAAACTTCCCCAGGTGCCCGGCAAGGGATAAGTATAGTTGGTATGTGTGTGTGAGAGGAGATAACACCCACATCACAGCACACTCCTAATCCACCCTGAACCTAGCCCAACCAGAAGGACCTGACAGCCAGAGGGAAAAACGTAATTCTGTGTAACTGTTAGAAATGTGCTGGAGCTCAAAACACACCTGGAATCAGCTACACAAAGCATGAGCCGTAAGCCAAACTTGTAATTTGCAACATTACAAAAACTGCAGCTTTTTCCATGAAGGTGAAAAATAAAAATTGATAAACATCTGATGGCGAGCTGTTCCTTTGGCTGTCAGATGGTGCCTCCTGATTTGTTTCTATTTTTTAAAATGACATGCTCATGGAAACAAGCTAAACAACATAGGAGTATGAAGATTTGGGTAAAACACCCTTCTCTGCCTCCTAATCAGAGATACACAGTGTTAACAGTCTGCTATGTAGCTCCCATTCCTTGCTCTGCCTGCACGAACCCATACAAAATATTCAAGCGTCCGCTCCTGGAAAGATCCAACTACACAGGATACTCCCAACTGCTCATCCCCACTTACTGATATATTATGGATGTTCTCCAGGTCAATACACATAGATTCTACTTGTTTTTAAAAACTGCAGAATATTTGTAGTTTGGCAATGGTAATTTTATTCAAACATTCTGCCAATATCTTGAGGCTGGACGTTCATATTTCTGAGTTTTCTTATTTTGCTACCAGATACTTCTCCAATAAACACTTCAGGTACTAATGCTTTCATTTTATAGGAGATTCCTGGAAGTGGGACTGTTAGACCAAAAGACATGTAAATTTGAGGTTTTGATAGCTAGCCCCACCCTGGCCATTTCAGTCCTCCCATAGCCCTGAGGGTCTGGGTTCCACCCCAGCGAGAGTAGCCAGGGTTCCTTGGGCCTGGCCATCCATGCCAGCCTTGCCAACTGTTCCAAATGGGGACTCTGGGTACATTATCAGGAGGGCAGAAAGCAGAGCCCATGGTGCATAAACCTTTGGGTCCTCTCTGTATCCCCCCAAGGACTAGGGCAGGGCTGGGCATTCAGGAGACATCTGGGAAGGTTTGCGGAAGAAATGTGGAACGGCAGGTTGGGTTGCCTGGCACAGCCATCATGTCAGAGTGACTAGAAAGGGTTGCAGGTCACTGGCTGGTGGGAGCAAGGTTCCTGTGCACCAAGACCTAGCCCAGTGCCCTCAGGGAGGGAAGGCTGTCCCCAGGCCCAGCTCAGCCCTCCTCACCTGCCTAGGAAGTCGTCCCTGTCAGGATCCTCATCATACAGGTCCACTTCCAGGTCCTGCCCAGGGACTTCATACACCATGAACTGGAAGGAAAGAGGTATCTTAACCTGCAGGCTACAATAACCGAGGAATCCAACCTTATGTATGACCCAAGGAAAGCTAAGTCCCGGCTGGGAGCCCTGGCAGGTTCCTGGTCTTCTTGGTGCCTCAAGGACCCTACCTGTAAGAAGGGAGTGGTGCCCCTCCCGTGCAGGGCAGTTGGGGGATTAGAGACATGTGCAAGCCCATGGCAGAGCGGGTGCTCAGAGACAAGACAGTGGCTGCTGTTTGTCCTACATGAGGCTTGCAGCTTCCAGAGCAATTGCCCAACACACTGCCATGGCCCCCATGAGTCTGAACAACAGGAGACTAAGCTTCCTTCTATACTGGCAAAAACATAGAACACGTGCGCACAGGCTATTCATTATACTAGCCCACCACCCACAAGCTGTGTGACCTCGGCAAGTCACTGACATCTCTGGACCTCAGTTTCCTCATCTCTTATACTACTATTTGTAATAGCAAAAGACCAGACACAACTTAACTGTCCATCAATAGGGAACTGGTTGAATAACCTTCAGAACATTCACATAGTGGAGTACTTTGCAGCTGTGAAAAATAATGAGGAAGGTCCTATTGACACTGTCACAGCATGACCTCCATGATAGATTTAGTGACAAAAAGAAGGTGGGGAAAACTGTGTATGCCACTGTCCACCAAAAAGAAAGAGGGATTATGAATATAAACAAATGGGTACACATATGACCACATATATGTATCTGCTCATATTAAAAATAATTTAAAATAATGGAAGCTGGTCGGTTAGCTCAGTTGGTTAGAGTGTGGTGCTGATAACACCAAGGTCCAGGGTTCAATCCCTGTACTGGCCAACAAAAAAAGAAAAAGAACAGAAGGATAAACCATTTCTTATAGGCATACTGGCAAAAACATAGAACACGTGCGCACAGGCTATTCATTACACTAGCCCACCACCCACAAGCTGTGTGACCTCGGCAAGTCGCTGACATCTCTGGACCTCAGTTTCCTCATCTCTTATCCTACTATTTGTAATAGCAAAAGACCAGACACAACTTAACTGTCCATCAATAGGGAACTGGTTGAATAACCTTCAGAACATTCACATAGTGGAGTACTTTGCAGCTGTGAAAAATAATGAGGAAGGTCCTATTGACACTGTCACAGCATGACCTCCATGATAGATTTAGTGACAAAAAGAAGGTGGGGAAAACTGTGTATGCCACTGTCCACCAAAAAGAAAGAGGGATTATGAATATAAACAAATGGGTACACATATGACCACATATATGTATCTGCTCATATTAAAAATAATTTAAAATAATGGAAGCTGGTCGGTTAGCTCAGTTGGTTAGAGTGTGGTGCTGATAACACCAAGGTCCAGGGTTCAATCCCTGTACTGGCCAACAAAAAAAGAAAAAGAACAGAAGGATAAACCATTTCTTATAGGGGAATGGTGGGGATTAGGTGGAGTGAACAAGGGATAGAAGCCAGACTCCTTAAGATATAATTTTTTATATTGGGCTTTGGAAACTACAACTATTTTACACAATTGTAAAAGAAGTTTAGGTAAAAGTTAAATAGAGAATAGAATGAAACATATCAATGTAAATATTCGTGGCCTGTTTTTGTCACAAACATACAGAGAGGAACTATTCTAAGTGAGTTTAAAATGTAATAATCTGCCACACCAGCGCCCCGGGGCCCACCCAACGGCCCAAGGCATGGAAAAGGGGACCGAACCTCCCTCCCACAAACAGGTACACCTCGCCAGCACCTCGGGTCCCACCCAGGGACCTGGGAAATCGAGAAGGGGACCGGACCTCCTTTTGACAACCAGGCACACTGTGCCAGCACCTTGGGACCTGTGCTGGGACCTGGGGCATGGAGAAGGGGACCAGATCCGCCTCCCACAACCAGGCACACCACACCAGTGCCTCAGGGCCTGTCCTGGGACCCAGGGCATGGAGAAGGGGACCAAAACCCCCTCCTGCAACCAGGCACACTGCACCAGCACCTTGGGGCCCACTCAGGGACCTGGGGTATGGAGAAGGGAACTGGACCCCGCCTCCCACAACCAAGCACATTGCACCAGTGCCTTGGGGCCTGTCCTGGGACCCAGGGCATGGAGAAGGGGACCGGAACCCCCTCCCACAACCAGGCACCCCATGCTAGCACTTCGAGGCTTTCCCTGGGACTCAGGGCACGGAGAAGAGGACTGGACCACCCTCCCACAACCAGGCACCCCATGCCAGTGCCTCAGGGCCTGCCTGGGGATCCAGGACATGGAGACGGGGACTGGACCCCCCTTCCACAATCAGGCACACTGTGCCGGCACCTCGGGACCCACTCGGGGACCCAGGGCATGGAAACAGGGATTGTACACTCTCTACAACCAGGCACACTGCCAGCACCATGGAGCAGGCCAAAAACATCTCCATGTGGGTGGCCCACCACAGCCCCCCTGATAACCATGGCTGCCACGAAGGCGACTATAGGCCACAACCACCCCGCAGATGGTCCTCCAGCCACTGGAGTGAGTTGACACAAGAAGAGTCACCAGCAGAGATAAAGACAGGAGGAGGATGTCTGTCTCCACAGAGCCCATTTCAGAGTGACAGAAGAGACATCTGCTCTATGATAGTATTGGGGGACCTGATCACACCTCTCAGCATTGGACAGATCATTTGGGCAGCAAATCAACAGAGTAACCATTATTCTTTCAGAGGGAGAGAAGAAATCTAGGCTGATTAGAGGGGGGAGTGAGAGGGGGATGGGGAGGGATTGGACAAGGGGCATAAGGAATAATTACAATTTGTAACAATATATATGCTAGTAATATTGATTTGATCATTATATCTCAATGTTGAACCCCCAAAATATGTATAATCAATTTTGATTCAATAAAAACCAAATAAATAAATAAATAAAATGTCATAATTTGAAAGGACATCCAAAAAGGTAATATATCCTAAGGACCAAACATTTTTAGTAATGACGATGTGGGTGGTGGTGTTTATATTGTTGTTCTGAGACCATCACCCGTGCAGTGTGGGATAAAGCCAATGCGCCATTGCGTGAAGGCTGGGAGGACTGTGCTGCCTCCCAGCTGGCCCGTGTCCTGCAGGGTCTTCCCTCGGTGGGTGGCACAGGCCTGAGCAGGAGCGTGCATCAGGCTGAGTGCAAGAAGACGCTGCCTGACACCTGCCTCTGATGGGAAAAATGGGTGCTTTCCCTTCTCGTGAGGCCCTGACTCAGCCCCAAGGGCTCAGGCCCACAGCCAGGGTGCCCATCAGTAGGGAGGTCACATGGCTGTTCCTCAGGGACCTCCTGAGCTGGGCTCAGGGTGGGGGGGACAATGGGGCTCAATGCCCCAGGAAGTCCCATATCCTGGCTCAACTGGGAATTCTCCTTCCCAGCAGACCCAAAGATTCTTCCCACCACCAAACTGATGGGAGCCTCCCGTCACTCCTGAACAGAGGATGGGAGGCGCCTGAAGTTTCATGGGGGATGACCGCCCACAGTCTCCATCCGAAGCCACACTGCAGGGGGACCAGGAGCCTGAGAAGGAACACTGCCCTGGGCTCTGCCCCTCCCTGGATGGGGAGAAGTCACTGGGCAAGTCATTCAACCTCCCCAAACCTCAGTCTATCCCCTATAAAGTGGAGATGCCGTGTCCTCATGGAGTGGAAGTAAGGATTTCCATCTGAGAATGAATTTGAGGTGTCAGGACACCTCCCCCACCAGCCTGTCTGTCCCTCAACACTGGGCCCAGTGCTCTGTACTGGCTACTCACGCAAGGCAGGGGGAAGCGCAGGTTGGTCACATCCAGCCCCTTCTTCACAGGCACAGTCACACGGTTGGGCAGCACCAGGTGGGCAGCGATGAGGTCCTCCAGCAGGCTGTCCGACACCTCGCTGGGACACCAGGCATGTCGAGCTGTGGAGGGGTGGCACTACCTCTCCCATGCCACCTGACCCTCCATCCATCAGGAGCCCCGCTGGGCAGGGTAGGCCCCGCCAGGAGAACAGCCCTGACCCCATCCTGCCTGGAGGGGGTGAGGGGTGTGTGTGCATTGTGGCAGCCCTCCACATTCTATCCCAATAGCAGCCATCCCACCTACATGCCCCCGTCCCCATGCGCCCCTCCTGCCTTGTTCTGCTGAGGCAGCACAGCGTGATTCTGTGTTAGAATCTCAGCTCCATACCCCTTGAGCTGTGTGACCCTGGCAAGTCGCTAGCCTCTCTGGACCTCAGTTTTCTCATCTCTAACCTGGGGATAACAATGCCTACCTCCTAGGGTTGTTTTGAGGGTGAGGGGACATGTGTGAGGTGCTGAGAACAGTGCCTTGTCCACAGTAAGTGCTAGGTAAGTGTCAGCTAGCAGGGCCTGACAGCACGTGGACATTCTCCCCATAATTGCCTGGCTCCACCTCCCAGTACAGGCAGACAGGGAGGGTACCTGGAACAGGACTGGGACACACTAAGTGCTCAATAAATATTTTTTGAATGAAAGAATGCATGGTTGGATTCCCTTCGTCCAGGGCAGATGTCCCCAGTAAGAGGTGACTGGCCCTCCCTGCGGCCTGCGGCAGCTGCCCGGCTGGCCCTCCCTCCTGGGGAGGCACATCCCATGGGGCTGCAGCCCTTCACTGCTCCTCTCACGGTGCCTGGGCTCTGAGAACAGCCTTCACCAGCCCCAGGGAGGTGGGATCTCGGACCAGCTCCTCATCGCTGGCCTCTGCTGTTTGCCACCACGGCTGGAGGAGGCCACAGAGGCTTCTCACCACACACTTGGGCTAGGGAGGGGGCAGAGTAAGGGAGAAAGGAGAACACCTCGTGCCCACACACTGTGCCGCCACTACACATGCCTGAGCATTCTCCCAGGGACCCCAAAACACAGGAACCAGGCTCCTCTTTTACTGAGGAGGTGCCCAGCGAGGTGAAGTAACTTGTCCAGTTACTCAGTTGCTAAGTGACACAGCCAGGAGCTGGCCGGGTCTGGGTCCACAGCCGGTGCTCCTCTCACTAGCCACGTGGCCTCCTCTAGGCCCCCATCTCATCTACTCTGAGCCACTCTCCTGCACCAGGACAGGGACCTGGATGTCCCTCCACCCACCATTCTGCAAAGCCCTTCTCACCCAATCGTGTGTGTCTCTGTGTGTGTGTCTGCGTGTGTCCATGTCCGTGTCAGTGTGTGAGTGTTTTCTGGGCACAGGGCCTGCCCGTGGAGGCCGCGTGGCACAGTTAGCCTCACAGCCCCACTCCACACACACTAATGCTCTTCCCTCCAGCGGGGGAGGCTCGGTGCCCGTGCCAGTTCCCATGCGGAGAGAGCCAGGAGAGAGGCTCTCCCAGGCACTTACTTGATCCCGGGCACATCCAGCAGGTTGGTCAGGCCTGTCCAGTTGATCTGCAGGTGCTGCAGGGACAGAGAGAGTCTGTTAGGGTTAGGGTTAGGCTGGAAGAAGCTGGGAGATCAGGGCCAACAACCCCCTGCCAAGCGCCTCACACCTGCTTGGGAGGAGAACCCAGCCTGGTGGGGGACGCCCTCAGCAGGGATGTCAGGCAAGCAAGGTCACCTTCCAGCCCTGTCAGGCCTCTAGGGGTACTGAGGACCCAGGCCTTAGCTCAGGACGGGAGGGGCTGTCGGGCCTGCTGTGTCCCTGCCAGGACCTCCACAGGAGTGGGCCAGTCCCAGTGGCCACGGGATGGCCTGGACTGGGAGAGCTCTGAGCACGCATCTCAGCTCCACTGCAGACCACCTGTGAGACCTTCTCTGAGCTTAGTTTCCTCAGTGTGGGGAGAGCAGAGTCTAGCTCCTCAGGCTGCCTTGAGGATTAAATAAAATAAGGTCTAGCTGGGCCTGGACAATGTCCATTCCTGGCTCAGTCCCAAAGTCTGGGGCCCACAGGACGAGTGCTGACTCCTAGGGAGCAGCAGGACTGCCGCTAGTCCCTGCACTCACCGGCTTTTGAAGGAAGAACATGGTCACAGCTCCCACGAAGGGCTTGTCTACGAGGAGGGGCTCCAAGATGATTCGCAGGGTGCCCTGCAACTGGATGGGCATAGAGGGCCCATGAGGGACCCATGCCTCCTTTTTTCCTGTACCTGCTGGGCTCAGCTGAGGCCTCTTGCTGCCTTATTTCATGCCCATGCCACCCCCAAATGTCAGGACCTCCCCCGCCCCCGCAGGCCACCTGCTGTCATGACTGGAAACACATTCAGGGTATAGAGGCCTGGACACACCTGCCACCCCTGTACCAGTTACCAAGGGGCCATAGGCTGGCCACCACTGCCTTCCACTGAGCCCTGCCCAATTTCAGGCTGGTCCAGCCCGCAGGACCCAGGAGTGATTTCCAGCCCCAACTCAGCTCCTCTATGCCTGGCGTGAGATATTTCCACCTCCTGGGTCCACCTCAGTTTCTAAGCAGTTGCTCTCCACTGCTCCATAAACACAACCTCTCACTTTGCAATCAGAGGCAGACTGTGGGGCCCTAGGGCAGAGCAGAGGGTTGGGGAAGCCCAGCCACTGCTTCCTGGCCATGTGACCTCAGGGTCGGGTCATCACCGCCTTCTACAGCCTGCTCCAGCATGAGCCGGCTTCCCCTTCCCTGACCCCCACTCCTGGGCTGGAACAGAGGCAGTCCCGCCGGGCTCCACCCACCTGGATCCCATTCACACCAGCCTGTATCTTCTGCAGCTCCACACTGATCTCGCAGTCCCCAATGTAGCTGAAATGGGGAGGGAGAAGGAGGGTGGAGAGGAGAGGGAGGTCCAAGTGATCAGAGAGATCAGGAAACTAGCCCAGTGTTGCACAGCCTGAGCCCAGGCAGCCAGCCACCAAGCCTGAACTCTGCGCCCCTTGGCATGTGGCCTCCCTAACAGCCTTGGCCTTTCTCGGCTCTGCCCAGATCCTGACCCAGGCCCAGACTCTGAGAGGCAGCCACCCGGGCCCCTGAACCCAGGTACCTCCCTACCTTCGGCCATGAGAGCAGTGACTCTGGACACCACCTTCCCTGCAATACCCCAAATTTGAAAAGCAGGGGCTCTTGGTAACTACATTTCCCACCTCCCCACCACCGCTGTGCTCCCGCCCTGTCTCTGCCCAGGTCTCTTCCACGAGGACAAAGCAGTAGCATCTGCTGCTTACATCCAACCACTGTCCCAGGTTGTTGCTAGGGGTGGCAGAGATGGACAAAGGTTAAAAAGGCCTCAGGTTGTAAGGACAGGGAACCCAGAATGGGTGGCCCTGAGGGTAAAGATCAGGAGACCCTGTTAAAAGACTAAAGATAATGGCTAAGGGGAGGGAGAAAGATCAGGAGACCCTGATCTTCCTGAGGGTAAAGATCAGGAGACCCTGTTAAAAGACTAAAGATAATGGCTAAGGGGAGGGAGAGGGCAGCCACCAAACATCAGCAGGACACAGGCAGAGGAGCCTGATGTTACCAGTGCCCCTTGAAAGGGTAGGAGCAGACAGTACGGGGGAGATGAGGACCCCAGGGGGTGCCTGGGAGGCTGAAAGGGCCACATGACCTTGATATACCCCGAAGTCTTCATATAAAGATCTTGTGGCAGAACCTCAGGGGCCAGTAGTGCCTGATAGCCCTTCATTATCCCAACACACTTGAGACCAACTCCCAAATGGGGATGAGTGGTCTCAGAACTGGCTCCTGTCTTCCCAGTGTGCTCTCAGTGCCAGCCTCTGGGCTAAGGACAGGAAATATGAGACATTGGAAAGGAACAGCAACACTCTGGAATCTTAGAAGTTGATTCTTTGTCTTCTAAAGCACAATTCAAATCTCACCACCTCCAGGAAGATTTCCTGGATTGAATCTCTCTTCTTCCTGACTCAAGCCCATTATGAACCTCATTTGAAAGAGATGCCTTTGCCCAACGCCCTGAGCTAGTCATGCACATGTCTAGTTTTCCTGAGATGTCAGAGCCCAGTTCTCCAGCTGGCCACTCACAGCCTGGGCTTGGAGCTCCCTGGGCCTCACCACAGGTCCCCACATCTTCTTCTCACACTTGTTCCCTCTATCCATCCTCTCTGGAGCAGATGGTCTGATCCTCCAGGCGACCTGGCCCCAGCTTCCAAGAAAGATCTGCTGTGTGGGCCTTGGTACCCAGAACATCCCATGAGATGGGAGAAGTCATGCCCAGACCTAGGGACCAGCCATTCCTCCATCCATTTTCCTAACATGCCTCCCCCTTCTCAAGCAAAGACCTCACGCCCCAGTCCAGGAGCGGGGCAAGGGTCCTGTGAGAAGTTTCATGCTCCAAATCAGAGTGTATATATGCCACTCCAATTCCAAATTGGCTGTTCCCACAGAGTGTCCCCTGAACACCCTGAAGCCCACACCTGGCCCCACAGGCAAGAGGGCTCACCATATCTGCAGGTCCAGGGTCACCTGTCTTCGGTTGCACTTGTTAGTGTGTGCCTTGACACCGTTGACTCTGGGGCACTGGAAGAGATGCCACAAAGGCTAGGTCAGCAGGGCTCTTGCAGCAGGGACAGCTGCCAGCCCCTCGCCCAGCACTGGGCTTTGTCAACAACAACAAACATGACCACTGCACTCCCAGGATGAGGCACAAACACAGGGATCCGCCCTGCAGCCCCTGAGGCTTCTCTCCCTAGATTGTCTACCCTCCTTTCTCTCCCTTCCTGCCACAGGTAATTCCTGAGCTCTGTGTCAGGCACCAGACTGGGGAGAAGGCCGGGGGCAAGGTGGACTAAGCCTGCCCTGGTGGGCTCACAGCCCAACAGAAGAGACAAATGAGGCGGGCGAGGGGGTCTGGCCACAATGAGGAGTGGCCCATGCTGTCACATGGTGATCTCGGGAGGAACACCTTCCAACCGAGCCAGAGGTGGGAGGAGGTTAGTGAAGACTTCCTGGAGGAAGAAGCCCTTAAGCAAGACAAATGAGGCGGGCGAGGGGGTCTGGCCACAATGAGGAGTGGCCCATGCTGTCACATGGTGATCTCGGGAGGAACACCTCCCAACCGAGCCAGAGGTGGGAGGAGGTTAGTGAAGACTTCCTGGAGGAAGAAGCCCTTAAGCTGAGTCTGGAGGTAGGTAGCAGCAGAGCCTCTGTGGCTGGGGCTCTGGGCAGGCAGCCTTCCCCAGGCCCTGTCTCAGCAGATGAGGGTCATGGGGCTGGCTGAGCTTACGCAGGTAAGGGAGGGAGGAAGGTAGGCTCCCTGGCTGAGGATCTGAATTAAAGTGCCCCCTCCGGGACCCTGTGATCTGCTGCTGTCAGCTCCCCCTCTGCCCAGGCTCTTTCCTCCTCCTGTAAGTTATTGTTGCAGGGTCTGTTTATCATTTATCAAGAATAAAAAATAAACTTCATTTGAATTCAAGTTAATGATATGCATGCTGACGTGGTTGGGGTGAACTGCACTGTCTATTTAGTTTGAAAAGCATTTTAAAAAATGAATAGAGACAGATGCATAAATATGCAATAAATCAAATATAGCAAAAGGTTAAAACTGTACAATCCAGATGGCAGGTATGTGATATTCACTGAATTATTTCAACTCTTTTGTATGTTTAAAACTTGTCATAATAAAATGTTGGACAAAAAAATCCAATCGATCCCACCGGAGGAATGATTCCATTATCTTTCTACTCTCACCATCGAAAGTGACATTTACAAATGCAATGTCACATGAAAAGGTTCTCAGAGTATGAAGCCAAAAATGCAGGAAAAAGTATTATAGGAACATGTTTAATTAAAAATAACATGTAGTTTTCCCAGAGTTTGTGATATATCAGCTTTTTAAAATGTATAACTTGCTATGATTTTTCTCATTCTTTTTCATATTTACTTAATATTCTTGAAGAGGGTCCCCCCAATTGTAGAAGCTTCAGACCACACAGCCCCTGGCTCAGTGGAAGCCTGGGCTGGAGGCAACACGGTGACTAACATCCCACAGCCTGGGGCTCACTGGTGGTCCCGGTACCTGCATAAGCTCAGCCAGCCCCAAGACCCTCATCTGCTGAGACAGGGCCTGGCGAAGGCTGCTTGCCCGGAGCCCCAACCGCAGAGGGGAGGGGTGAGCACTGGCTCTGTGCCAGGCAGGGCAGCCCTGGCCGAGGGCTCACAGTTAGGTGAGGGGTGCCAGGTTAGAGTTTGGCCTTAACTGGCCCTCTCAGCCCCGTGCCCTCTGCCAAGCACTACTCACACAGCCACACAGAGCGGCCCTGCAGCCAGGCCTGTTCACGCTTCAACTTTTAGAAGTAGGTCCTTTCCTTTTATTCATATACACAGGTTAAGTCACTGGACCACAGCACAGAGTGGAGCTGACCATAGACACGGCAATCTGAGGGAGCTGGAAACACTTATGGGTGTGAAGGAAGGGGGTGCGGTCAGTGCTCTGGGTCCTGGCCAAGCCCAGGAAGGTCACGGGAGAAGTTCTCTGTGACCCCACTATGGAAAGGAGGGGAGATGTGGGGAATGGGAGAGCAGAGGGCAGGTGGTGGCGGGGGGATGGGCCAGGACATGAAGAGCTTTGAATGCCAGGATCAGGAGTCTGGTATTTTTCCTGTAGGGCTGAGACATCTGGTCGGCCTGCAGGTTCCCCCTCCAGGTTCTCCTGGCATAGTAAAAATCATTCCTTAAGATCGCTTGCCAGCAGCAGCACATCCCATAGACACCATCAGCAGAGCAGTGGCCCAGCTGGGCAGGCCGGCCTGCAGGTTCCCCCTCCAGGTTCTCCTGGCATAGTAAAAATCATTCCTTAAGATCACTTGCCAGCAGCAGCACATCCCATAGACACCATCAGCAGAGCAGTGGCCCAGCTGGGCAGGCTCTGCTACAAACCACACTCTGCAGGCTTCCTGGCTCTTAGCTGCTGAATTCTTCAAAAGCCAAGTCAGACATCACTTCCTCCTGGGAAGTGTTTCCTGACTACCTCAGCCCCTCCACCCCTCCGCCTCTGAACTCATGCATTCCTCTACAATCGCGCATCCATGCACTGCCATGTTGTCATCCACCAGTTCGTGTGTCTGCCTCCTGAGGGCAGGGGTGCTGCCACATCTGACTCAGTCTATGGTGCTGAGTGCACAGCACCTGCTTAATAAGTCACATGTGAATGAAACAAGGAATGAACACATGGACCAACAGATTCTGGGACAGGCCAGTCCTGGCAGAGTGTGAGTGGCATAAACTGAACCCCCAGGGCTCAGGCTCTACCATCCACTCAGGGGGCTGGCTGGGCAGGGCTGGTGGGCACTGTCAGCAGACCGGCCTGCACTCTGACACCTGCTTGTCACAGAGCTGACTGGGTGCCAGCATCTCTGATTTACTCGGGGATGGACATCACAGCAGTTCTCTGCCTGGGGGATGCGTTCTGGATGATCAAGATAAAACACAGCAATGGGACACTTTGGGGCAGGAGGAGCGGGGCACAGAGGGTGTAACAGGAAGCTGTCTGGAACAGGGACCATGACATTAGGTACACTAAACACAAACTTCTTTGACCATGATACATTTTACTCTGGGACACCTACTGATCTCCACAGAACTAGCATGGGCTTATAACACTGATAGCCAGAATCAACCAATTAGCAGAGGATTAGAAACTTCTTTGTGGCATTGACCATCTCAAACAATGCAGATGTGTTGCCCCAGCTGACACCTGAAGTTAGCGACTACGACTTGTCCATCTTTGTATCTGTCTGGCTACCACGATGGCATGTTTCCAAATTTTTTTTTTTTTTTTTTTTTTTTTAAAGATGACCGGTAAGGGGATCTCAACCCTTGGCTTGGTGTTATCAACACCATGCTCAGCCAGTGAGCCAACCAGCCATCCCTATATAGGATCCGAACCCGTGGCCTTGCTGTTATCAGCACTGCACTCTCCCGAGTGAGCCACGGGCTGGCCCATGTTTCCAAATTTTGCTTAAGAAAAGTGGAGCTGTTTCCCACCTCTCCTTTCTGTTCCCTCTGAGCCAGGCATTCTTGAAACCTGGAGAGATGGTGGTGCTGGGACTAGAGATGAGGGGTGTTTGAGGCTGACAGGCTGGGAAATGCAGGTGTGGGGCCATGCCCCCTGTGAGGTCCAGTGTGATCTTTGTAGTCAGGTGACTGACCTGGGTGAGGGGGAGGTGACAGGAGAGGGGACAGAGAAAAGACTACACAGCAAGTCCAGCTGACCTTCCCAGACAGTACCAACCTTCTGTCCAAAGTAGAGCTTGGTGAAGGTGAAGGTTCTCAGGCGGATGCTCTTCTCTCGGATCTTGGGCTCAAGTTTCTCTCGGAACTTGTTTTCCATGATCATGCTTATGTAGGGCCAGATCTGAGAGATGATCTATGGAGACGGACATGGGGAGAGGCCCTTGGTGGTCCGATCTGTGCCCCCACTGCAGACCCACAGCTGTCCAGGACAAGGTCTTGATTCCCTGCCAGCTGGTCCCAGGATGGGGGTCCCACAGCACCCATCTGCCTGCCCGCCCACCCATCTACCCACCTATCCATCTGTCCATCAAACATCTGTTAACTATCAGCTGACTCCACTCTTGTGAAGGCAGCAGGATCCCAAGATTTGGTGCCATTTTGCAGAGCACCATGAAATACTCATTCACTAAATTTAATATTATGAAGCCCTTTAATTCTGTGCTAAAACATAATCTCATTCTACATTGTGGTCTAAACAAAAAGTAGCAGATGCTAGAGGTTTCAGAAAAAAATTAGAGGAGAAAGTTAAATGTTTCCTGTGGATTTAATTTTCTAGCAATCAGAAAAAGCAGCCTTTGGCTGATTTCTGCAGCAGAATGACTCAGGGCCCCAGCGCAGGACCTGGGGATGGGGGCTGGCAGAGAAGGCGGGTGGTGATCAGAGCGGGCTATGAGGGAGGGCGGGCTGGCAGATCTGTCCCTCTTCCTTCCTGTGGGCTCAGGCCTCAGTTTAAAGATGCACCTCCTTCCTCCACACACTAGTTCAAAACCCATCGCTGGGGCCGGCCCGGTGGCGCACTGCTGCAGTGCACTGCTTGGGAGCGCGGTGGCGCTCCCGCC